GTCTAAGGAAACAAATGATTCTAATCTATAGTTTTCTGTGTTGATCAGATCACATTGGAGGCAAGAGATTTTGAATTGGTAAAAACATTGGATGGTTATGCATTATGGTCTTAGCAATAATTTTTATTTATCTTCAAGTGACAAATAATACTGTTGTTAATTAGTTATTGATAAATATCAGCTCATGAACAATGGAAAAATGGGCATCAAGCTAGAAAAACAGGTCAATTAAATGATTCCTGGATCCATCTGAGGAGCATTTGGCTAAAGCCCTCAATATAGTGACCCACAAAAGAACTGAATCAATAACAATTTCTTGGAAAAGAAATGCAATTTCAAAATGTATGATCTTGTAATCAATATAGGAGCTGTGAAACAGGTCACAAATCAATTTTTTAAAAGTGACATTCATGGCCCATGAGCTTAGATTCTCATGTTGATATACTTCTTACTGCAAACAAATGGCTTGAATACTTGCTTTAATTTCACAGCCAGAAAGAATGCAGCCCAAATTTTCATCTTTAGTTGTTGATATACAATCTCAAAATTGCTGTCACTGATGAGCCTGACATTAGTGATAATTGAGTGTTACTAAATAGCAGCTAAATGACTGCCAGTTAGCATTCAGGTCCAGCTGATTGAAGGATGCTCTAGTATTGCCAGTCAGATTTTGAACACTACGGTACTCCAGACATGTGTTAGATTAAGACAGCTTCTTAATGCCAGCAAAATACCTTATCAAGTGAGTGGTTATAATTAGTATTTCATGTTAAGTCAGCTTTTGTAGAGAATGCAACTTGTGTTGTCAAATATGGGCTGAAAAGCTTCTTTCTATGTCGTAACAATTCTGTGGACTATCTGGTCTGTTGTGGTGATAATATATAGTGGTCTGGTATTACTCATATAGCAAATTAGTATCGGCAAGAGTAGAAAAAAGTTATCCAAAGTTTCAAGTGGCACAAAAGCAGAACAACAGATCTTATTGCTAAGCTATACAGTTGGTCAATTGTACTAAGTGGAGCTTTGATGGAACAGCATGCAGGAGAAGGCACGCATACAGAGATGCTTGGTATATTGTCTGGTCTACCAGAATTTCTGGTCATTGCCAAGCAGCGTGGGGGAATCTGACCGCCAACATGGTATGGAGGATTGTGCAGAGCTCGGTGCCCATTCTTTCCTGTGGTGTTTAAAGTACAGCATCTGGAAGCCAATTTCTCTGTTTCTACTGCATCACAAGCAGAAGCCAAATAACATCTGAATGTTGCAAGGGAATCTCAGACTGAGATCATAGGATTATTGCCAAGCTTATTGTCAGACAAGCTTAGACTGCTGATACCATGCTTATGATACCAGCCCTCAAGATTTGGAGGTGCCAGTGTTGGACTGTGGTGGATAAACTCAGAAGTCACATGACACTAGGTTATAGTCCAATGGGTTTATCTGAAATCACAAGTTTTCGGAGCGCTGCTCCTTCATCAGGTGAAGTGGAGAGAAGCACACAGGCACAGAATATGTAGGCAGAGAGATAATTGCGAGATAATTCTAGGTAATTAAGTGTGTCAGTAGTTAAGTACAAGCAGTGTGGAGTGTTGACAGGCTGAATAACAAATCTTTGCAAGTCAGCACTCATGAGGATGGCCTCAACTGTGACCTTGGGTTCATGTCACGCTACATGTAACCCCACGACACTGTTTGTATTTGTAAAATCGTTCTTATTGTTCTGTTTTGACACCATTACCTTGATAACTTGTTATTATCTCTCTGCCTTAAATAGTTTTTACAGTTTTTGATGACTTATTACTTTGGTTAGACCCTCGTCATTCAACCTAGATACTTATCATGTTATTCCTGGCATTTGGTTTGTCTCTGGCACCATATTATTTTTGATTTTTTGTAATTATCTCTCTGCTGTAATTAATCGGTTCATGGATCGTCCCTTCACTTGTTATTCAGTTGTTAGTTAACACTTTACTTACACCATTTGATATTTTTGATCATCTGCAAAGATTTGTTCCTCAGCCTGTCAACACTCCACTTACACTATTTGTATTTATCTGTTGACACTCTTAATTACCTGGAATTATCTTGCCATCAACCCTCTGCCTATATATTCTGTACCTGTGGGCTTCTCTCCACTTCCCCTGACGAAGAAGCAGCGCTCTGAAAGCTTGCAATTACAAATAAACCTGTTGGACTATAACCTGATGTTGTGTGATTTCTGACTTAGCCCTGAAGATGACATGAAAGATCTCACAGGAAAACAACAAAATGTACTCCAGGAGACTCAAAGGATTGTTGAGGCACTGCCCCGAGGAATTGCAATGCTCCACAGAACATTAAGTTGCTTTCCCTTCCTGGAGGACAGGAGCTTATTTAAATATATAAGAAATAGAGAAAGGCCAAAGTGTATATAGGCATCGTGAGAAGGAGGCTGAGAAAATAGTATTGGTGAAACAAAGAATAGCAGAAGAGTTGAATAAATACTTTGCATCAGTCTTCATGGTAGAAAACACTAATAGCCTTTCCAAAAATATTAAGTAATCAAGGGCCAAAAGAGGAAGAGGAAATGAATATAATAACTACCATTACAGAAAAATTACTAGGGAAACTAATGGGGCTAAAGGCTGACGGGACCTGATGGATGCATCCTAGGATATTAAAAGAAATAGTTACAGAGATGACTGACACACGGGTTGTAATCTTTCAAGACTTGAAAAGTGCTGGGGGATTGGAAAACAGCCAAGATAATACCTTTATTCAAAATGGGAAGGAGACAAAAATGAATTATCTTAATATCAGTTATTGGGAAAGTATTAAAGTCTCTTATAAAGGATGTAATAACGGAGCATTTAGAAATACATAATATGTTAAAGCAGAATCAGCATGGCCTCATGAAGGGGAAATTATGCCTGACTAATTCATTAGAGTTCTTTGAGGATGTAAACAGGCAGCATTGATATAGGGGATGCAGTGGATGTAACACATTTGGATTTCTAGAAGATATTTAATAGGGGAGCACATGTTAGTCTACTGGATGGGAGGAGTTTAGGATTTTCAGATCAGCCATGATCTCATTAAATGAACATACTCAATACGCTGAATGGCCTACTTCTGCTCCTCCATCTTATGACGTTATGGTCTTACGGACAGCAATATTCCTCCCACTACTGCCAATCTGCCAATTCTTTGTTGATGTCCATCAGACCAGATTGCAGATCATGCTGAGATGGTGTCAACTGAATGCTACTTGAGGGTGCCCTGCAGTCTGCCCCACTGAATAGTAGCAGCTTTCTATCTGCTATGCTGTTGCCATTGGGGTGTCACTGTGCAAGAGCACCTGGATATGTAAAAGCACTTGGAAGAAAGGCAATAAGCAAACGCAGAAGTTAAAATTTGAGTTTGTGTAGAATATTGGATGGTTTGATTGTTAAAGTAGGTTTGGAACTTTTGTTTTACTATAGCTTTTACTTCAGGACTGTGGCCAACTGAGCACGATGATAATAATAGTGGGAAGGTAAGTTGAGACTGCAGGTGAAGAGAGATTTGTGGTTACGTTCACTAATATTGCAATCAGCTGAGCCAATCATGAACTGTATAACCAGTTAGGAGATGTGTTAGTTGTGTTCCCCTTCTACCTTCTTCAAACCACCCAAGTTCTCTTTTTACCCCTTTTCCTCAGTAGCTTGGCATATACTGGTTGACAAAGTCTGTGCCATCATAATGGCAAGGTCTGCTGCACAATTTACACAACCATAACAAATCACAACATACAATCTGATGAGTAATGGAGGACTCCCTCTGTGTAGTTAGGCATTAGATGCATTGTCAAAGCATTTCTATAACTTGTTTAATGTCATTTTGTACGGAACTATGGATCTTGTTACTTGCATTCTGCAGGTTACACACAGGATTTAGGAATCATGTGGTCAAGTGGATAGTTCCCATGGCATTTCTGCTCAATTGCCCATTCTTGTGGCAGGCCAAGTGGAATAGAAACTACTGCATTATTGAATAGGAGCAAGTGATCTGAGCAGAACTTTGGAAGGCAGAACTATGGCCTTCAACATAAGCCATATCACTCACTGCAGACTCCAGCAACTTTAAATAACAGTACAGACTATCAAACACTTCTATCAGCTCTCATTAAAAATCAATCAGCAACTTCTGAAAATATTTCATTATATCTTTAAATAGCACTGCTTCCTGCTGGTGAACATGTGCCATTTGTCTGAGTGCAAGAGGTGACGTTGACTACAATGATGAGTTTGAAAATAGCATCACCGGCATCATAACAGTGTTCCATATGTAACAACATTTTGGATTTGAAACACCAATCACAGCGCTGAAAATATAGCTCCAATGCAAAAGCTAGGTCTTCCTTTACTTTGAATGAAAAAAATCAAGACATGTTTCAAGGAATTACCAAAGATAAGGTGTGATGGCACTAGTTTCGTGGGGGGTAATGGCCTAGTCATATTATCACTAGACAATTAATCCAGACAACTGGGTAATGTTCCAGGTTTCCATCTCACCATGGCTGATGGATGAATTTGAATTCAATTTAAATAAAGTCCGGTATTAAGGGTATAATGACGACCATGAAACTACTGTTGATTGTCATAAAAACCCATCTGATCCACTAATTTCGTTGAGGGAAGGAAATTGTTGTCCTTACCCAGTCTTGCCTACATGTGACTCTAGACCCAAAGCAATGTGGTTGATTAACTGCTCTCTGGATAATTAGGGATGGCATTGAATGTTGGCCTGGCCGTGAAGCCCACACCTTGTGAACGGATAAAAATATCTAGCCTACATATTCAAAGGGAATGATTAGATCATAAGTCTTAACTCACTAGAATGTATAAATATTATTCAACAACCTTAAATATGCCATAAAAAAACCATACATATACAATGCATTGACAGACATAAGTATATGCACACAAAAAGGGTATTAGTGGTCTTAAATGTGCATGGATTTAAAAGAAAAGAATGAATACCTTTCTCGAAGAGATAATCGATTTAACACGGGGCTTTGTTTCTGGAAGGTTGAGGTTGTCGAATAGTTCATTGAAGTCGTGGCAGGGGAGAGTTGTCTGCCAGCTGGTTCTGACATAATAGGCTCATCAGTGTCTTCAAAAGAATTATCTTGCAGATCTTTCTCATGAGGTTTCTTGATGGCCTAGAAGATAATAAAACAGCTGTAATTATCACTGGAAATACACAAAGGAAGCCTTGTCCTTGGCAAATACCAGTCTTTAAGAAATTCATCTGTATCTCCATGCTTCAAAATTAAGGGCTGTCCATACTTTTTAATTGGCAGAGACTACATAAAACAGCAACTCTGCTTTGCTGAATGAACTAATTGCTTACTGATTGAAGTTAATAATTGTCAAATACAGCTTTTTTCTTTCTAATTATGAACTTGATTTAGCTGATGAAAATGTCTAAATAATGGTAAGGTAAAATTTGGTTCAGTATTTTCCAATTGTCCTTTGTCACGCTCCTGACATAAATCACATATTTTCCAATTCCTCATTAGCATTGTCATGGAAAATGTATTGGTATATAAATAAAGGTTTTGCACCTATTGTGCATTCCTTTCAATCCAATGCATGCACAAAAATGAAAATGTTAGCGCTATCCTTTCAACCCAATTATTTTCAATTATGTATTCACGAAAAATGAAAAACTACCAACTAAGAACTACTAAGGAAACAAGAAACCACAAAGTAAGAATGTGCAGTTAAAAATATCTACCAATTAAAAAATATCTAACAATTGGATCGCGAACTCCTTGACATTCTTTTCAATCACCATATCGTTTATTCCACTGAACTAAGGAAATACTGCAAGAAAGAGATTTAATATCATAAATACATTAGAATTTAATAAACAACAAATAGTTTATTGAAGTCATGGCTGAATTGCAAATCATTTTTAGTTTTCAGTTGGAAGCAAATGCTTCTCTGAAAAACTCCATACTTGAATTGTGGGCTTTCCCAATCATTGTCAGATGAAACCTCCCTTTAATGCTTGATAGTAGAAATGACTATTCACTGATTTCTAAGATTAGCTGTATTTAAGTCTCACTCATCACCTGCATTTTTGTATCAAGGAAAGCAAACTGAAAAAAAGCAATCTCCTGGAAATCTGAGTTTAATAGCATTGAAAGTAACTAGGATTTAAGTGTAAAAAATGAAAACTGAAATAAAACATGACATGCTCCATCTTTATGAGTTAACAATGTTTAAAAAAAACGTTATTCTGTTGAACAGTTTGAGACTTTGAAAATGGAGTATTTTGCACTGTGACAAAATAAAATCCGCAAAATGGAAATAACATGAACAGAAGAACAGTACAATATATTGTGTTTGTAGGACCTCTGAAGAATTATAAATTTAAATATGCTTACTGAGGCAAAATAAATTACTGCTGATAAAGATTATGTCCTGATTAAAAAAAACTTAAAGCTAATTTTTCAGTTTAATTTATTTCATGACCTTCAATAGAAAAACAATATATGACTAAATGTACCCCTAAAGCTGCTCCTTATACCACATGCAGAGATCAATCGATTTATCCAATTTTGATCAATAAAGCCAAAAAAATCACAAAGCTAAGGAACTATGCCCTAAATCTTGCATTTTCTTGGCTGTTAGTTTCATAGAGTTTTTCTTCCTATTCATTTGTGGTATGTAGGCATCACTGGCTGACCAGCATTTGTTGCCTGTCCCTAATTGATCTTGAGAAGGTAATAGTGAGCTGCCTTCTTGAACTGCTGCAATCTACCTGCTGTGGGTTGACCCACAATGCCCTTATTGAGAAAATTCCAGGATTTTGACCCAGTGATAGTGAAGGAAGGGCAATATGGTGAGTCAGGATGGTGAGTGGCTTGGAGGGGAACTAGTAGTTGGTGGTGTTCCGTGTGTCTGCTGCCCTTGTCTTTCTAGATGGAAGCGGTCGTGGATTTGGAAGGTGCTGTCAAAGGAATTTTGGTGAATTTCTGCAATGCATCTTGTGGACAGAACATAGTGTTGCTACTGAGTGTGGTGATAGAGGGAGTGGATGCTTTTGGATTTGGTGCCAATCAGGTGAACTGCTTTGTCTGGATGGTGTCACTGTTGTTGGAGTTGCACCCATCTAGGCAAATGGGGAGCATTCCATCACACTCCTGACTTGTGCCTTGTAGATGGTGGAGAGGCTTTGGGGAGTCACGAGGTGAGTTACTCACCACAGTATTTCTACAAGTGCTCTTGTAGCCACTGTGTTTATGTGGCAAGACCATTAAGTTTCTGGTCAATGGTAATGCCCAGGATGTTGATAGTGGGTGATTCAGTGATGGTAACACAATTCCATGTCAAGGTTAGTGAGTAGATAGTCTCTTATTGGACATGATCATTGCTTGGCATTTGTATTGTGCGAACCTTGACATGGAATTTTGTTACCATCACTGAATCACCCACTATCAACATCCTGGGCATTACTATTGACCAGAAACTTAATGGTCTTGCCACATAAACACAGTGGCTACAAGAGCACTTGTAGAAATACTGTGGTGAGTAACTGACCTCGTGACTCATGGAGTCATGGCACTTCATGGAGGGTTGCTCACATCAGGCCTACTAGGACCTCTTGCCACGTCTCACCAAATGTGCCTGACGAACAATCTATGGCAACTCTCTCACTTGATTCAATCCCCATTCTATCACCTGCCATTCCCAGAAGAATCTGTGAATCACCAGACACCTGCCAAAAGCCTTACATTCCTGGTTCATGCACCATCTTTAAAAGGCCACTATGCAGCAAGACAAGCATTGGAAATCAGGTGGGGCCCTTCACTGGCTACATAAAGGCACAGCGGCCACAAAGCCATCCTGTTCATGGCACATAACCGACCTGGTTGAAACTCCCTCGCACGTACAACCCCATTTTCTCACAGAAGTCACTGTTTAACTACCGGGCCACACAGTTTGCCTGTCCTTCGCTTCATCCTGTCTGAACACTGTCTACGTCAGTCATAACCTGTCCCCAATGCCTACTATAAACTCTCATCTTGTCTATTAGGGAAATATCATGTAGAGATGAGCAATCAGACAATTTCAATGATGAGCTTTTGTTTAGACAGCAAAACAGCCACAAAGAAAATGAATTGAGTTTGGCTCCTCAATTCAAATGAAATACTGGCATATGACCAACAATTAGTTTACAGTCTAAAGTTGTTGCTGCAGCCAGTTCTCATCTTCCGGCATCAACCATCAATCAGGTTCTGCATGGCTTGTAGTGCCTAGTGCTGTTGAGATCTGTCATAGATAAGGACAGCTTCCTCCTTCCCAATGTCCTCATGTTTCTCAGAAAACTGCTCCCTTTCCCCAGTTCCTCAGCATCCAGCAAATCACCTTGTTGCCTGTATCAATTACGCAGAGCACAGCAAACAAGGACCATGTGGCACTGCAGCCAACCATAAATAGAGGTAAAGTAGCCCCAAATATCTGACCAGTTGCCTGGCTGCTGTCTCAATTGAAGATACACATAACTCCTGCTTCTGATGGCCCAACAGGACTGAGATTTGTCCATTCCCGAGACTATAGTTGGGCATATCGCCTAACTGTAATGGGCATGAACATGTGCCTGACCATTGCCAAGCCTCTGAACTGTGTGCAGACTGTGCCCATGACTGATGCTCCCAGGATGCTATCTATTTTCAGACATGATTGAATAAACATGCAGTGTGGTTGATGTGCAGGCAGCTGGCACATGCTGTTGGTGTTGGATTTATTTCTCAGTGTGCTGTACAGCAAGATGTCACCCACCAACCCCAGACAGATCTTGCTGACAAGCATAACAAGAAGCCTATCTGTGTGTCTGCGCAAAAAGGCATGTCAATACAGCAACAGTGATAGGCTTTGGTTCTGGCTGAAGTACCGACATGCTAATGGCATGGCATGGTAGGCACGGCAGGTAAGACAAAGCAAGGATGTTGTGAGAATGCAGGTATGCTCTAAGTGCTTGAGCGCGAAGGGAGAAACAAGCAGATCTGAGATATTACCTGGTCCAATCATGAGCTAGGAACCTTTGCCTGAGTGCAAAGTGTGCTTACAGCAACTATAGCTGCCAGTGCACTCTGCAATGTAGGTTTCAACTTCCTAAGCATCCAGTGAGGTGCCACTGGGGTCCTGAGGGATTAGCAATTATTGGGTGCGAATATCCATGGATGAGGGGTGAGTGCAGCTGATGCCCTTGGAGTCTGCCCTGAGATACTATCACATAGTGACCAACATGGAAGCACTTCACAGCTAGTGGCAAGCTGAAGTCACCAGATACCTGCTCTGACTTCCATGTCAACAATTCTTTGCATCATGTTTGCTCACGACAGGTGGTAGGATGGGAAGCTGCATATCAATAAGCCAAGATGTGCGGTTAATATGGTAATTAACAAACAATGATCCCCCTTAAGAGGCAACTAGCTACTGCTTAGTGAGAATCTTGTCTTGATGTCTGGAACTGAGCTAAAAGGTGCAGCAAATTGTTCCCAATATCAAGAAAGGCCTTGCTGGACTTCTGGACTGATTCTGTCACATTTCTCACCATAGTCCATTTCGTCCTGATATGTGTAACATATAGTCCTGGTGGTTTCTTATATTTTTTTTTGAGTGGAGTCATGTACCCTGCATTATTTTTACCTTCAGTGTAACCTATTATCTTTTCTGCCCCAGTCTCCATCATTTCAATGGAGCACAGGAGTTGCTAGTTTTCCGAAAAAAAAATTATATTGACAAATGGAACTAACCTCCAATGACTTAACATCATTCATTGGATGATTTTTATATTCAGAAATAAGTCAGTTCTAAGTTAGTTTTCACTATATATATTAAGAAACACCTAAACCTGAAATACCAGTTACACTCAATTCTACGTTCTTCAATTATTTGCATAATCAGTTACAAACTTTGGTGGGTGTAAATGACACCAGTGGTTGGAGAAAAAAACTGCATAGGTTATCCTTCATGGAATGCGGATAATTAATGGGGAGTTTTATAAAGTGGGACATAAAAATTCAAGAATCTTCTAAACTACCATGTAGCATGTCAGGCTATGAGCAACCTATGCCATGGATCAAAGTAAAACATTTCAGATGAAAATAGAAAAGCAAGCCCCAGGCATAGACATACATCTTCAGAAAAGTAATGGCACATCCCAAAACCTGCCTTCGCCTTTGACAATGAAGTTGAAGTAGTGCTATATGAGATGTTGGAAAGGAGGGCTGTGCATAAGCCTTCACTGCAACTGAATTTAGCAGAATTGCAGCAGGGTCATCAAGTCTCATGCCACAACTGACTGTTAACATCACTGAAGCAGTGCTGTAATTTTTCACAGTCATAGAGGCCTACAGCGTAGAAAAAGGCCTTTCGGCTCATCAAGTCTGCACCAATCAAAACAGCCATCTAGCTATTCTAATCCCATTTTCCAGCACCGGGCTCATAGCCTTGTATGTCTTAGCATTACAAGTACACACCTAAGATGTTCTTACATGTTATGAGGGGTCTCTGCCCCAAGAAAATGTTATTCAATTGCAGAATCACATCTAATGTTGGATGCTGCATCTCGAATTTTGCAATCATGAGTTAGTCAAGTAATGTCAGTACGCTGCATGGTTGTGGGCAGTCTTCAGATATAGAGCCTACATACCCAGCATAACACTGGCACTGAAATTCATATACCTCATTTGAGTGATAGGCAGAATGTCATTTTGGCTTGGTGCCAACATCCTGTTAGTGATGAATACCACTCATGTTGCTACTGCGTAGTAGCAGCAGGAAACAGCAAGCTTCGCTGTTGTTTCAATTTTTGGAATACCTTAATCAGTAGACTGGGCACTTTTAGGACCAAAAGTCATGGCCTTGCACCTGTTCATGAGTTTGTGCAATATACAATGAGAAATGATCTGATCAAAGTAGCCATTATCTCTTAGGTTAGCGTTCATGCACCGTTTTGGCATACAGCTTGCATGGTGAACAAATGGTTTGAGTTCTATTTATGGAACTTACATGTATGGAACTGCAGGAATCCCATGTTTTATACTGACCAGTGAAGATGGGTTTGTGGTAGACAACAGAAGCAAATCCACTTTTCTCCTGTCAATGTTCACATAGACATAACATCTATCCAAAATTTCAAATGCAAATAAGGGAAAAGTTAGGGAAAAGCTTACTGGCAAATAAAGTTAGAATTTTAAGAGTAGTTGAGCTCAAGACCATTCCGCCTTTTATTAAATGACAACAAATCCTGCTCCCGTCTCATCCCTGTGATCACTGACCTCTCATTGGCACCTTGAACTTAAAATTCTCATTCTTGTTTTCAACATCCTCGTGGCTTTGCCTCTGTCCATCTCAGTAATCTCCCCCAGTCTTACAATCCTGCAAAATGTCTATGTTTGTCTCATTCTGACTTCCTGAGCATTCCAATTTTAATTGCTGTACCACTGGTGGTCATGCCTTTAGTTGCCTACACCCTTAGCTCTGAAATTCCATTCCCATACATCTTTTCCTTGAGACATACCTTGTAACGTATCTCATCAATCTTATGGTCAATATAGCTTCTTATATGGCCAATTGCCATGTTTTGTTTTATGCTGCTGCAGTGAAGTGTCTTGGAATGTCTTATGGTATTAAAGTTACTACAGAAATATAAGTTATTTTTGTTGACAGCTTCAAGTGTTCTTTCAGCAGTTGGCACTACCTATCACCTGCTTCTTTACTGGTCCAAGTTAGAGAAAGCAGAGGCCACGTAATTCCCTGCAAAGTTTATCAGGACTTTCTGCCATATTTGGTGACATCTTGTTTGCACAATTAGTTGAAGCCATATGCTCCAGTGGTGTACAAGTCAAATAACATAGGATTCTAACAAAAGCTGACTACATGGATGTCCATTCAATGATTGATTCTTATGACAATATTGGCTTTATGAGAGCAATCTCAACAGGGAAATTCTTACAATAAAACCATGAATGGTGTTGAACTACATTCTGATTTGCTACAAGAGTGTCAAATCAGAATACGTACAGAATATAATAATTTTAGAAATTGGTGAAAGAGAAGCAGTATAACAAAAGCACCATTTTCACCATTTTGATTTGCTTGTCTTTTAAGTCAATGTAATGCAACATCTATTACCAATGAGGTTCACAATTCTCAAGAGAAACCTGAAACAATATTTAAAGCAAAATACATTTAATGAAGTCTTGCTCGGTCCATAGCTGCCACGGAGTGATGGATCTGCAAAGAATAAGACACACAAAGCATAATGACTGATCTATTACATAATAACATAGCAATATAGATCTTCTCATTATCAGTTATTTGTGATGTCTGACAAAACGTTTATCCATAATGTTACAAAATGACAGCATAATTGCAAATTGCAAGATAAACTAAAATAATACAATAACAATTGAAGGCTAATCCCTTATGGGTGGCAGCTAGAAAATTCAGTAACTCTCTTCCCCTACTGATTTGTCAAATGGCTAATTTTCCTCTGGGCAATTATCATAAAAACTAAAAGTAATCGAATTTGATAAAATACATAAGCTTTAACTTATCATATTTTACGTAATATATATTTTACCATAGTGATTAATCAGATCTAGGGGAATAAAGTTAAAAACAAATAAAGAGGGACGTTAACATTAAAGGCTTCCTAATTTTTCATTAGTTAAAAATTGACACAAATAAATCATAACAGTTAAGTAAATCAATTAAGTTAAGCAATATATAAAATAAAACGCAGCCACATAGGGAAGAGGCTAATTGGTGAGTAGTTAGTGAGTGTTTATTAGTTCTTAACTTTATTTATCTTAATTTAGTCAATAGTCTATCAAAGAGAGATATCAGGGCACTTCAGTTCCATATCATGCACATTCCTGTTTTTTGTGGAAATCCCAAGATATTTCATGTGTTTGAACAACTACAGTTGCAGCTTGACCCTCAAGGTTTAGAGCAGTAGCTAACACCACTGCAATGCAACATGTCTACGTGGTCACCTCAAAGCTTAAGGTTGTGCAGGCAGAGAAGGAATGGGTGAGCACCAGAGAGACAAGGATGGAGTGGGTTATGTATCTGTTAGGTAGTGCAAGAGTCCACTAAATGCATCTGCCACTCTAATGAATAAAGTGGCAAAGTGGTAGTTCTTCAGGGGAGTACAGCCATAGTTGTGTCCTTGCCAGCATAAGTGGCTCAGTTAGAAGGAATGGGAGACACTTCTATAGCTACATAAGATTGTATCAGGCTTCTTGAGTGTTGTTTGATACTGCTGCCTCTCAGAACAGCCACATGTGCTAAGCCACTGATCACCTCTCCATCATAATCCTATATGAGGGCAATGTGAGAAGCAGGTTTCAGAAATGCTGTCAATATTAGCTGTATTCCAGGAGTAAGCAACCATGAAACATGGGCCATGACTTTCTGTAGAGCATAAGAAGCCAACCACCTCTTGATTCCCGCTGTCAGATACAAAAGAAAATGACATGTCTAGGCACCAAAGAGAATAATATTGTTAAGAATCATTAGGTTGAGTTTGTTCACTTCAATTGTCACTGCAATAAATAGGGCCTGAATTCGCTGCAAACCTGCAGCTTAGTCGTGATACATTAACAGTGAACACCACATATATGTAAAATCTCGTGGATATAGTAAAGAATGCACCTGAACAGGAAGGGAAAGGGCAATGGATGGGGCTAGCTGAATTGCCCTGCAGAAAGCCAGCACAGTCACATTGGAATGAATGGCATCTTTCTGTGGTGTAACCATTCTATGTTTCCATGATTCAACTTTCAACCATATCTAAACTTATCTAAATTGTAAAATTATCTAATTTTAAAATAAATGTATCAAAGTAAAAGATTTAATTAATTATAACATACGAGACATCTGCCCCTACCATTATAAATCGATGAACCCAGAGGTGAGTTCTTCTGAGAACTGGGTTTAGAAGTAAGGGAAGATGAAGCAATGTACAAATCATTAGTTGGCAACAACTTATGATCAACCTGAAAAATATAAAAAACTTTGATAAAAATAAAGTAACTTGTTACATTTACTCATATTTATTTTATTGTTTGGAGACACCACATCTAATCTCCCAATTTATCATACCATAAGGTCATCTTAAACTATAAACAATGATGTGTAGTGAAGTTTTTTTATGCAGTAAACCACAGTACAGTACAGAAATACACAACCTATAAATGGGCTGACTGGTCAGCATTGCCTGAAGGTGGATTATTCATCACGACACCATGAATATTTCTTCAAACAGCACAATGAGACCATTTAAATCAAACTAATCAGGAAAATGAGCACTCACATCTCATTGGAAATATAACAGGTGTGAAATTCATTTCTACAGCATGACTGGAAGTAGTCTTACAGAGGGCCAGCACTGTTTTGCTAGAAAGCACCTTTTCCAGTGAGACTTCTCCAAATCTACTCCATGTGAGCATCCCCAGCATGCGCAGGGAGCCTGTAATGCAGCAATACCTTATCCATCTGTATCATGCAGTGCTGGCATATCCAATTTCAACAATACTGGTCTTTCCAATTAATGCATAAATGTGTACATCAATCTGCAAACAAAAGACATCAAGATATAGAATGCACCCTGTGCTAGCCTTTCCTAAAGGGCAAGGCATGCAAATTTCTCATAAGGTAATTTTTATGAACTCCTCTGATCGCAAAGGTGTCTGAAAATATTGACAATTGCTTTTGGAAATGTTAGTTTTGAGATTTGTCAAAGAAAGTTGTATCCAGCTAGGGAGTACAACAGAGTTGATGAGCAGTCCATACAAAGCGGCAAATGTTATTGGGGCTGTGCCTCATAGTGTCTAGCATATCTGACAGTCTAAACTGCTTATACTTTTTCTCGGACCTGTCTGATAATCAATAGTAGAGAATACACCACCATTAAACTTCACAGGAGAGGAACTGTCTTAGTTAACAAGATGAATTATTGCACAATGATACTAACTTTGTCATAATCATCCACTGTTCCGCTGACTAAACATTAGTTAAGATTCCCTGCATGAGATCAAATGGGCTGTGCTGCTCACCCTTCCCTTAGCTTCAACCACAAATTTTGCTGAATTTATTTTTTGATCTGTCTTCGATGACAGGAGTGTTTTCCAGAGTAGAAAATCCTGTGTAATCAGATGTTTCATAATGAATTATGAGATACAATCTCTGAGATTTTTGGCCACCGCACCATTGACTGAGTATTGGCTATACACCAGTTTCTCCAGTATATCCTTTCCATTACATAGTCTCAAAGGGAAGCTAGAATAACTAGTCTTCTGACATACACTAGTATGTTATCTCTGATTGTGAAATGTAGTCAGAGATCAAAATAGTTATTCTCAGCCAACTCACTGGACTCTTCCTCTGGTATCCTTCAATGCAATACCGGTGAATGATAGAACAGTTCTGTTCTGCGTTGAAAATCATTGAAGCTTTGTTGATTTGCTGGCTATTTCTTCTGAGCCATGTGAAACATTTATTTTGTACCATCATAGGTAAGCTCAATGGATTCTTTCTTCTTTTTTGGAATCTGCCATGATACTTATCAGTTACTTTTTGACTGGTTGGTTGACAACAGTTTGCTTCTGGATCAGTTCTCTTCGAAATAATGGAACCCTTCTATAACTCTTAAGAATATTAGTACACAATCATCCATGTTGTAAACTATGCAAGCATTTTCAACTGTCTTATGCATCATTTTGCAGTGCAGCCTGCACCAGATTTATGGTCTTGGTAGTTATTCTACTTATGAAGATCACTCCATCTCTGCAGGCTGTAGCTTCTGCTTGTTCAGTCAAGGTAACCAGTCTGAATAGGATACTGACCTTGGCACTTGTATCAGGTTTACATTTAACAGAATGTCCTTTGACATAAACAACTTCTGTGAACCCAATATTGTTATGATCACAAAATTCTCCTATGAATACTTCAGGCCTCTTTTTCAAAAGAGATGGCTCGACCATAATGAGCTGTTTGCTTGTGTAACTTCTTTCTTTTTCGAGCTCTGTAACTGTGTCTTGTGAATTTAGTGTTTGATTTTGAGGTAATTCTGTAAACTATTTTATAGTGTATCTTAAGAGTTGGTTCCTCCAAGATATTCAATCTTATCTTCTGATTTTCTCTAAAGCCTTTCTCGAACGTTGAATTTTTATTAAAGCACTATATCTGTTTATCATTTCTTGACAATGTTTTCCTTAATTCTTCCTGCTGTGAAGCTTTTTAAATTTGCATTATCACAATTACTGATAGTAATCTGCCTGCTCCTTAAGTTTGTATTTTCATTCACCAATGTTATTTTAAATTCATATACTGTATAGTTTGTGAGACCCAATGCAGATTTTTTTATTCGCCAATCTTTTTCAAAACTCTGTACTGTATATAAATAAAGCTTTAAATTTTATTAACTGGTTATTCTATACTGATTTATTTTTGTACTACTTACTGGTTTCTGCATTCTTTTCAGAGTTTTCCCACTGTTTACAGTCTAAAGCACCAAGCACTTCCTTCTTCACAAATTTTTAAATAGTTATCCAGCTGTGGACTTTATAAAGCTTCCCATCAAAATCACAGTTTAATTGCTATTGGTCTTCTTAAGTCTTTAGCTTCTTGACTTATTTTCTTCTGCTAAACTCTTTGACTAGATTTTTAAAAATTTGCTCTTTTCCAGCTTAAATAAATGCTCCTGGAGCCTTCTTTTGCTGCCTACAGAACCTCTTTCACCAAAGTCTTTGTCTTTTTCAAAGTATGGCTAATTTTCTCACTTTTCTAGCCCACACTCTTTTTCCTCAATCTGTTACCAACACCTTGATAAAAGCTCTTCTTGGGAATGGTGAGCTTACTCTTTTGCTTTTCCACTGCTGCTGCCACGTCTCTCTAACAGGAATCTTGTCTCAACTTCTAACTTGGTATACTCATAAACAGTAAAGCTCTTGAAGTGGTAAAACACTTGTATTCTTTTGCTGAGTTGGGGAAGTGGATGGGGCACTCTGCATAGAATTCAAATCTGTGCAGCTGCTCACCATATGGTATGACCCTGATTGCCACCAATAGCACCTTGTAGAATCTGCAATCACTGCCAGAATGTGGTTTAGATTAAGGATTGTTTGGTGCATTTCACTATAACCAATCTTCCTTTGCCCATACTTTGATTGGGGTCTGTGTAATGATCATTGGCAGAAGATATACAGCCACGGGGTCTTTGCATAACAGGCTCTGTTCTTGGTTGACAAGTTAATTTGCTTCTTGATCGCAATAAGTACAATTACATAGTTGGTCATACATAATTACTAGGACAGTTGGGGGTAAGTTGGATAGAATACATCTGCTGCCTAAGAATGTTAGTGTAGAACTCACTGTGTCTACACACATTGTATGTGAAATGTCACCAGAATGTGTGTAGACCAATGTAATATCAACAGTAACTATTTCAGAACCACACTATTATACATTACCATTACCATACTATTATACATACTGGGTCTTCAGCGCAACAGCAGAACTGAGGTAGAGGATGTGGAAGGTAGAAGCTCTATGGCAAGCCTTCTGTCAAGCTGTAGTAATAATTCTCCATTTTCTTTGACAGAGAGGATATTTGGCAGGCCAGCCTGTACACCCACATTCTTAATTTCCATTAATGCTCCTTTGTATGCTGGCTCATTGAGGTCCTTATCTGAGTTCTCTGCAGCTGACTTCTTTGTGACCTCACCATCTGTCTGAACCTATTCTGACCTGGGTGCAGTCCATTTGAGCTCACATGCTGACCTCAACTGTCCTCTACCTTCCTTGGTACCAGTATCTAAGCTGGTGGCTGCAAATTGATGCCAGTTTAGTGACGGGATCCCTTCATTGGTGCTATATTACTGCTCTCACTTTCTTACTGCTTGCATAATGTTGGCTGCACAGGTAGTAATTTTTGGGCATCTGAAAGGAAGAGATCAGAAGGGGAAGACTGGATTGAGGAAAAGCTGGTGGTGTGGGAAGAAAGAGATTTAGGCTCACATTATGTGTTACTGCAGAATACACAGGAGTTAAAAGTTTCAGAAGATAAATGAATTCGACTTCATTCCCACATAGTTGTAACATTACAGGCCAATGACCTCTTACCAGACTTACTGTTCACTGAAATGAACACCCTCTGAACACGTACATGTCTAATTACAAATGGAGGTTTGATATCTGTTTCCTTTTTAAATTGATAAGGACCCAGGTTCAGGTGTGCGAGTCTCTGATTGGCATCTTCTGAGAGTGCTGCCATCCGTCTTTTGGTATATGGTGATAGAGACCTTGTCTGAGATGCTATTGTGGGCTGCTTGTAGCTGTTGTCTTTGCTGAACTCCCTCAGGCAAGGGGAAGGTTTTCTCTTTGATGATTGTGTCATTGGTTTCCTCAATGGGGTAGAATGTAGTTCCAACTTCACACTATCCTCCTAAAAAAAGAAGTTATAAAAACATTCTTTTTTCACAATGACATTAATAAATCAATTGAAAAGAACTTTACAAATTACCTTTTGAGTATAATAAACCTCAAAACATTCCTTATTACAAGTAATCATCTTTGATAAGTGAGGGATATTTTAGAACATTCACATGAAAGTTAATTCAAACTGCAGAAGCAAGGAAAATCTGATTTTAGATAGCAATGACTTTCTTCCTTTAGGCTAAGCAAACTACTAAAAATTGTTAATTGCATTTGAAAAGAATCACTGCACAATTTGATCATAGCATTACAGTGGTGGAAAAGTAAAAAAAAATTCTGCATTTCATATTTTAGAAACTTAATGGAAGTCCATTTTAACAAAAATAATATCACACCGAACAGGATACATTACAAGTTATTGCGCAATCAATGCTCACAGTCACTCATGTTTTGTTTAGCACTCCACCTAAGTGATTTCTGTTTAATACATGCTAACACAAACAATGTGGATAATTTTCACGTTCTCTTACCCAAGGTTAAAAGAGATGAAGTGCAAGTAGCATTAGAAAAGATCAAGAAAAAGAGAATCATCTTCCTGTGGTGTGTTCATTAAGTACCCTAATGCACTTGTATGGTATTATCTGCCTATACTGCGCGCAAAACAAAACTTTTCACTGTACCGAGCTTTATGTGACAATTTTAAGTCAAACCAAATCAAAATGTTTTGGCTTCTTCAAACATGCATGTTTCCCCTCTATACAATGTAAAGAAAGGTAGAACACGAGTTAAAAAACCAAATGGAAAAAATCAAAGGAACTATAGGAAAGGAAAGGGCATTAAAAGAGAGAAGTAATAAGAGAGGATAGTGGCACACATAGCCATGATGTCAAATGGAGGAGGTTCCCCAATAGTAGTGTAGTGTACTTCCAAAATCATTGCCAGAAATTTTGTTGATGCTACGTCAACAATGATTATAAGATTGAAAGCATGAGTAGATGGTATACTTTGTGTTTGCAGAGTGGTAGATCTGGCTGTGAACAGCTCTGTGTACGCGAGAACATCAAACAGCAGAGTCTAGAATATTAGAAGCCACTTTTTATAAACTTCATTGTTTTCAAGAAAATTTTCAATAGCATCATTTGTTAGTCATTCTATAACATCACAAAGCAACATGACATCTCAGAGTGTAACAGCTTCAAAGCTTTATACCACAACTCTCGTTGATTTGCCTTTCTTTTTTGGACAGGGCAGATCTGGTCAATTTCTACATTGTCAGCTAATTGCCAATATTGTGGCTGTAGTGGAACAGTTCAGCTGGAGGTGCAGTTAATGCTTGAGCACAGGACTTCACTCCAATGTTGTTGGGTCCTGACTCAACTGGAAGTCATGTGGACTAAATCAATTTGGCTTAAAACGGGCATCTACTTTTCAGGATACAGGAAAAGGCAGAAAAGCATCAACCACTCAAGAGTGTTAGTTGCATAAATTGCAAATGATTCAGCCTGATGTTTTGCATTCACAATCTAGATTTTGTCACTCTTGTGGATAGAGATGATCATGAAGCCTACCTTGTTGCTCAACTGCCAATCAACATTCACAGTGGATGTGGCAGAGTTATAAAGCTTTTACATGATCTGTTGGGTTTTGGGATTATTTACCCCTGCTGTTAGTATGCTGTTTTCCCTGTTCAGCATGTTTATAGTCTTATGTTATAGGTCAATCAGTATACCATCTTATTTCTATATATCTCATTTTTGCCACTCCTGGTATGCTCTTCTACACCCTCCATTGAACTACGATTGGTCATCTGGCATGAAGGGCTTAGCGGATGAGGGTTAAGTTGAGAGACAAGAAGCTGAATATTATGATTTCTTTTGTCAGTGTCAGTTCACTAAGTTTCTTGGGGGGTTTCTTGCTGCAAGACCAAGTGACAGTTCTCGCCATTTCTGACCAAACTCACTTATTTACTATCTACCCTCCCACTATGGTACCCGGTCTGCTTGATTCTAACCCCATTTTACCATTCACCAGTTTGGAATAGCTGGCTACTCACTCTTCTGAAAGCCTGAGCACTCATATCTGATGTGTTCAGTCCTCATCTGCAGAGTATGCCACCTGCATGATTTCAGAGTTAAGAACCGTTTTGTTCTATTCTGGAAGCTCCCCCATCACTGAAGTTAAACCAACTAGTCTATAATTGCTGGAATTACCCTTACAACCGTTCTTGAACAGGACCATAATGTTTACAATTCTCCAGTCTTCTGGCATCTCCGTTGACTCCAAGGAAGACTGAAAGGTCATGGCTAGTGCCCCTGTAATTTCTACCCTCACGTCTTTCAAAATCCTTCAGTGCATCTCATCTGGACCAGTGCATTTCTGGCTACATGACTTAGAGATCACACCTGTCACTCCCTGGACAGAGTTATTTGCATTGAGGTTCAAAGCACTGTTCCCTTCATAGCCACTAGAAGGTGACAGCCTCCCACTCCTGCAGCCCTCAGATCCACTCGACCATTCGGCATAGTTCCATCACATTGTACCAGAACATACGGAGCCTGTGTACAACATCACATATTATTTAAGCGAGCAGCCAAGAGATGTAGCCCAGTCCATTCCATGAGTTAGGTGCTTGACCTGGCCATATCCTTTCAATGCCAGTGAGTAACGCAACCGCCAGCGCAGTTCCGTACTTCCTAACAATCTTGCAAGTAGATCAGAGAGGTCCTTTGAGGATCCTGAGTGGTTATATCGGATTTCAATATCTGTGCATGAGCACTGCGTGCAGCAAGTGACCGAGGATCATATCCTGAGTTGCTGTTGCATTCTGAGCAACATGGAGGCTCTTCACAGCTAGCAGTGAGCTGAAGTTGCCCTGACTTCCCTGATGAGAATTCTCAGCACCTAGTTTGCTAACAGATGGTGGTAGGTCTACATATTAATGAGGTGAAAGGTGCAATTAATGAGATTGCTAACAAGCAAGAGTCCCACTTTATAAGTAACTCGCTGCTCCGTAACAAGACTCTCGTCTTGATGCCCAGAACATAGTTAAATTTGCAGCAAATTGTTTCTGACATCCAGATGTCAGAATTCTCACCAGTCTCAATTCATACGGAAAAGAAGGACATACATTTGACCGAGACAACACATCCATGTTAGCACAAGCCAAACAGAGACATGCCAGGGAATTCCTGGAAGGCTGGCATTCCAACTGGAACTCCATCAACAAATGCATTGAACCGGACCCGATATACAAACCACTGAAAAACAGAACCAGAAGTAATACCAACCACCTCAGCAAACTGAGGCATATAAATAACAAGCAGGACAGAACACCAATGCTTCATTGGAGGCGCACTGATGATGTTACCGAACAGGGTGATGAAACATCTGCAATCAAACACACCGGCTCGGTGAGCAAGTCTACAACTTCATCCATGCCCTGAGCTACAAATCTTCTCAAAACTTTAGAGAGAAACATAGTTAATGTTTCGGGTAGTGCACGAAACAGATTGTGAAAGTGCCCAGAGCAAAAGACAAAGGCAGTGCCAGTCATTGTAAAGGAAAATTTAGAGATTTAAAATGGGTACAAATGAAGGTGAGAAAAGGGGGAAGTGGGTCTGCTCTACTGAGAGCAAAGTCAACAAAACACAAACAAGACATGGTGATGAGGAAATGTAAGAAAAATGGAGGATGGAGATCATACTTTGAAGTTGTGGAACTCTATTGAGTACTAGATGCTGTAAAGTAAGCAGAAAACAAGGTATTGTTCCTCTGACATGTAGGATGCCCAGGACCCAGGGCAGCATGATGGCTCAGTGGTTAGCACTGTTGCTTCTTAGTGCCAGGGACCCAGGTTCGATTCGATTCCAACCTCAGGCGACTGCCTGTATGGAATTTGCACATTCTCCATGTGTCTGTGTGGGTATCCTCCGGGTGCTCCGGTTTCATCCCACAGTCCAAAGATGTGCAGGCTAGGTGGATTGGCCATTTTAAATTACCCGTACTGTCCAGGATATGCAGGCAAGGTGGATTAACCATGGGAAATGTAGGGTTACAGGGATGGGGAGGGAGGGATATGGGTCTGGTTGGGATGTTCTTTGAAGGGTCTGTGTGGACTTGATGGGCCAAATGGCTGCTTCCACACTGTAGGGATTCTATGATCCTATGATGATTCCATGACTCATCCACAGACCTTGTTGTCAGTTTCTACAGTAAATAGAAATATAGTGCAAATTACTGATGTCCTGGGCCATCATACTGAACAGTGCCATCCATTGCAGCAAGACCTGCCTCCAAAAGGAATAGGTTACCATCCTATTTTGTGGTCATCAAGGTTACTACTGCCATGAATTTTTATGGCAGCAGTTCACTTCAAGGAGCAGTTGGGGACCTATGCAGCTTCTCTGAATCCTCCAACCACAAAGGCATTTTGATTGCTACTGATATTATTTTCACCAGACTGTTCCAGTTTATAGCCTCCCCCATGATGAGGACAGACAAGCAGCCCAGGCAATGGGATTCTCCATGAACACTGGCTTCCCTTAGATGCAGTCAAAAGATTGCATTAATGTTGCTTTGAGACAGCCCTATCACCAACCAAACAGTTCTTTAACAGAAAGGGCTTCGACTCAATCAATGTTCAAATAATATATGACCATTAATGCTTGATTTGGAGGTCAACAGCAGATATCCAAGGAGCTGCCATCATGCATATTGTTGCAAAGCTGGGTAGAGTGCTTGTGGATTGGGAGGCAGGAAGTTAGGAGTTGGTGTTTGTGAAGAGCTTGTGGGGGGGGGGGGGGGGGGGGGGGGGGGGGGAAGCATTACATGGTCCCTTTAAAAGATTATGTGCTTTTTCTGTGCTCAGAGATTTAAAATGGATGCCTGTGAGCAGCAGCTTGAAAGTTTGCAAGTACACAGAGAACAACCAAATTGAAACATTTGTATCGAAAGGCTGAACAGTTAGCAGCAGTTTTCTTTTACCAAGATGACAGACTTTTGAATTTAGTC